CGGCAACGAATATTAAACTGTTATCCTACAGTTTTTTTGTGTGTTTGTTTGTTTGTTTTTTTGTTGTTGTTGTTGTTTTTTAAGTAGATGCAATGTTTCGATTTTTGGGACACAGATGATTTTAAGGGAAAAAATTTTTGGGGCAATTTGGGGGTATGAATTTTGGGGTGTAAAAATACCGGGATATCCCAAGTTTCTTTATCAAAATCTTATAGAAAATAAGCCCTTTAGGGGCCCCGTCTGTTATTTAAAAAACCACAAAAAATTTTGGGTGAAAGGGTGGGTTTCGGGTGATTTTAAGATCAACGTTTTTAACATTTCTTCAAGTTTCCCAAATTCTTGAACGATTTATTAAAATTTCCAAAATTAAATTTAATACATGATTTAACATTTTGGGTTTTACTGACACCAAATCAAATTTCCTTAAAAAAGGGAAAAATACTGAACAAATTTTAAATTTAAAGCATTTTTTTTTTAAAGTCTTCTTCGGGGTTTTTCCACACTTTATATTTGGGAATCCGATTAAAAAACAAAAGGGAGGTTTTAAAATCATTTATTTTGGTTCAGAAATTTTTTCCTTTAATGACATAACTGATTACAATAAAAGCCACTTTTGCGCCTTTACGTGTGAATGGACTGTCTACCAGAAGTAAAGAAGAAACACATTTTTATGGCATGGTTAAAGAAAGGCTCATTCACATTTATGACAGTTTCAAGTCAGGCAAGGTGTAAACTCAGTTTCTTCTTTACTTTTCTTCTTTTAATGTCAGATATCATACCTTATATAAATGTATTCCGCCTTTATTTAAAGAAATGTCAGCGAATTTTTAAATAAATATTAAAGGATGACGTAAGCGTACCGAAAATATGCAGTGGCCACCTCAACGAGTACTATTATCTTTTTATCGGACCGCTATATTAAGTGACTAAAACATGACTTCTGAATGTTATTTGAACATTTACTTTAACTTTTGTTGCGAAAGATCGCGTTCGAAATTTTCTTTCCATGTGGAACTTTTACTATTTTATTATATGAAAGTGAGGTATAAGCTAAGCAATTGTACTTCGGGCATAATATCATGTGCATTTTAGTAAACACAAATTATAATCAGCTCCAATACATCTCAGCCTGCAACTTAGGTCTATTTAATGTTTGCGGATTGACTGACTGACTGACTATTTGGTACGTACAATGCAAGGAGGCACTCAATAATGTGTTCTAGCTATTGTACAAACAGTATCATATCACACTACAGACATGCAAGCATCAGAAAGGGAGGGAGCAGGGTAGCAGTATGGTAGAAACATCGTAAGGAATTGCAAGGGTAGATAGGGATAGGTACGGGGAGTGAAAAATGTTTAATGTATTAATTTTGTAAAAAAAAAAGAAAAAAAGAATTTATTTTAGACTCTTGCAATTCATTTAATTATTTCATCATTTGATTATTTTATTAATTTCAAACGAATATTCAATTTAGTATATTACTTTTTCCAGGCATTCGAATACAGATCAAAGGAGTGTTTGCTAAAATAGCCACTTGTGGAGCTTGTTCGACCTTTGTCTCCTATTGAAATTGGTTGTTTTTACCCGGTCCTTATTTATAATATATAATCACTTAATCTATTAACGTTCTAGCGATTTCTCTGCAATTCTTTAAATGAAAAATAGAATTTAAGAAATATAATAAAAATTTTATCTCACTTATATCTTCTTGTCCATCTTGCAGTAAATATGGCGTTTTCCCGCCAATATGGAACCTCTAAGTTCTAAGAGCTAAGACCTAAGTTCTAAGATCTAAGTCCTAAGATCTAATATCTAAGTTCTAACTTCTATCTCAAAACGGCCTCAATGGGCTTCCGTAGAAAACAGTTAACCACGAAAACAAAAAGTCAAAACGTATCGTGTTTTTACATTATGTATGTCGTGTCTTTGCGCTGCCACATTGGCGGGATAAGTGACGAAAACTCCATTTTCAACGTCATTCGCGGTTTCAATCTTTTGTCTTTTTGAAAAAGAATTAGATGCATTTCCAAAACTGCAATCAAAAATTGTGCCTGTGTTTGTAAAAGATAGGGAAATTTGCTCTGCATCTCATAATTTGGTGATAAGCAATTGTGATAAGTAATATAATTGCACGCACCTGATGGTTCCATTAAACCACTGCACGGGTTTCTCGTGCTTGATCAGATCTTGAAGTATTCTCAGCGGTTCAAACACGTAGAATACATTATTATTCTGTTGTAGAATATCCCCCGTCACTGAAGACCCACTTCTCATGTATGTTAATATGACCACACCGGTATAATTGCCTCCTGTGTTAGAAAAAACAATATTTAAGATTGTAGCAGACAACAAAAACAACTTCACCGAGGTTTTTGGGACAAGACATTTTTCGAATATCCATATACCCTTTGATGTAGATCTGCACCAGAAACTTTTTTTAAGATGATTTGGGAAATCGTCGCTCATCCTGTTTTAATAGGTATGTCACAGTTTAAAACTGTCACTAATTAGGGGAGATAGTTTATAAGCCGCCGAAAAGCTCAGTCGGTAAAGCTGCGGTAAGGTATTCTTAGGGTCCCGGTTCAAGTCCCTGTCAGGCTGCACATTTTTCTCACCCTGTGACAGCTCTAACGTGAACGTGTTATTCTCTTTTCTTTAATTATTTATGTGCGTTAACCCTAACCACCCTAAATATTTTAAATGCACTTTCCCACCTATCAAGCTCGACAAAACCTTTCATATTTCTGAAAAGTGAACATTGTAGCAGACAACAATCATACAACACTGATCTTGACCTGACACAGGTCGCATGAGTGTCCACCATCAGACTAATGGTTTAATAACTGAAACACAAATTGTTTTGTTTTTTAAAGCATCCTCTTAATAATAAGAATAAGAATTTCACGTGACTGTATAGTTTTTGAAAAAGTAATAGTAAATGAACCGCGTCACGACAAAACCAACGTAATGTGTTTGCGATCAGCATGGATCCAGACCAGCCTGCGCATCCGCGCAGTATGATATCAAGATCCATGCTGTTCGCTTACAAACCCTAGTAGAGAAACTGATAGCGAACAGCATGGATCTTGCTCAGACTGCGCCGGTCATAGTTATTAACTCTAAAATCTTTTATGTTTTATTGATTTACCAACAAAATGTCTAGAATGACATCTTTTTCGGCTAGTCTGGTTTTCGCCCATGCTGTAAATTTAATAAGATTTATACATGTATTTTATAAGTGACAACGAATATAAAAGAACACACAAAGAATTGTAACTGAATTTTCTATAAACAAACACAATTTATGTATTTCGAGAAAAAGCCTTTAAACGGAGAAAAAATCTTGATTTCCATTCAAAAATACATAATCACTATAATTGTAGATTCACTAATTGCAAAAAAGCAACAGAAGCAAAGGATGGTTCAGGCAATTGGCAAGTAAGTAAGGTAACTCCAATAAAAGCTTTTGTTGTGTAAGATGTAATTTTATTTCATCTCTTGAACTTTAAAAACAGTATTCTCACTCGTGGCTACGCCACTCGTTAGAATACTGTTTTTAAAGCCCACTCGATGAAATAAAATTTCATCTTACACACAAACAAACAAATATCCTCTATGTAATTACTTTCAAAAGTACTTTTAGAGTGCACAGTTGGGTTATTTACGTTTGTTTTCTGATAATTAGTGTCTTTCGTATGGTGGCTGAATTTTGCCATTTCGTGTCTTTGTGTCTTCACCGCTATAAAGTCGAAGGCAAAGACACGAAGTTATGTGTCCTCGTGCCTTTGCCTTGACAGTTGAAGACATGATAATTGGCCTATTCATTGAGTCTTTGTGCCCCCCCCCCCCTCGAAACTCGATTAGACACGATTTACTGACCATTTATCGTATCTTCGAGTTTCGCTTTTTGAGGCGAAGACATGACAACAAGACAAATATTGGGCGCCGATACGAATATTTCTACCGGTCGATATGATAATTACACAGAAGAAAATTGTATGTCTTCGCCCATTGAATATCGTTATTTTTCCTAAAATGTATCGTGTGTTCGTGTCAGCGTCCTCAAAAGTTGAAGGCAAAAACACGATACTAGTAATTGGTCAATTTATCGTGTCTCTGATTTTCAAGACGAAGACACAACAATAAATTAGCATAAGTAGTACAAGAAAATTATAATGTCACCGTGTCTTCGCCTTCGAGTTTTGAGGGGCGAAGAAACGAAATGGCAGAAATCAGCCACCATACTTTCGGTATTTCCGTAGGTGTGGCAAACAACTAAACGCTCTAGTTATAAGGATTTACATGTTTGACATAAAATGAAGAAAATAACAGTTTGCATAGTAAAGAATTTCAGCAATCAAACAATCAACTTCCGCCATCTTGTTTCACATAACCAATCGTGTTTGTACATTTTTATTCATTACCAAGAATATTTTACATCTTTTACTTCTTTTTAATGTGTTTTTCCGTTTTTACAGTAACTTTATAGATAAAATGGTGGCGAATATAGCCCTGTTATTGTTATATTTACAAATATCCGGAGTAATGTTTTTTGCAAATAAAAGTAGATTTCCATCGGCTAAGTATCTTATCTAAAGATTTCATGCCTCCAGATAAAGAAACAATTTCAAGAAAACCCGCTTTAAGAAAAATGTAATGAATTTTAAAGACAAGTAAAAAGTATTCACAATTCAATTAATGATTAACATATTACGTGAATGAAAAACCATTTGTTCCAGTATTTATCACCATATTTCTACTGCGTGAAATGTGTAAGTTACTTTCTTTGTTCACTTGACAAATTTAGCTTACATTTTCAATATTTCACAAAATAATCATGAGTCTGGAGGTATGCTGCTTTAATTACATCATCATGCCATTATTTTATATTTGTTAATAATGTATTTATGTTGCTTATTAATCAGATTGCGAAATGCACACAAAGACTAAATTACACAAGAATATGTACACATTGGTTTTTTTAATTGATGAATGGGGCATCTTTCGTTGCAATATAATTCTAATCAAATTTGTTTTCCTTATATCCCCAACCTTCCAATATCACATAAATGATGTATTAATGCGTAGTAAAACATAGTAGAACTTGTTGCTGTGATGTTCAGTAGTTTTGAGGATTTAAAGAAGGATTGACACTAAAACTAAACATATAACTTGTAAGTGAATAAACTTTTATATGTACATGTAGATGATCAATTTAACATTGTGATACTTGAAAGTATGCTACATTTCGTTAAGCTAACTATAACTTTGAATGTTTAGACATTAAGTACTTAAAACATGGAAATGTTTAAACACACGTGCATATTTTGTCCAAATACGCCATGTTTTAACATGATCATGTGTGTTATGATAGTGTTTTATAAATCTATATTGTACCGAGGTGGATATCGTCGATTTCCACAATTTAATAAGGTGGGAAACCAACATATTTTACTATGTATTAGGTTTCAGGAAGTTTCAGTCATTTATGTACACTTAGAAGCGAATAATAAAAACACAATATTATAACGTTTTAAAGAAAGTTTTTTTTATGATAAAGCTCGTCTTTTGAAGAAAGTTTAAATGTAAAGCTGTTTGAAAGCGATATAAGGATTATAACAAATGCTCTTTCATACTTGAAATACATATATAATTTTATGTACAACTTTGAAGAAATATATTTTTTCCTGGTTTATCAGCTAGTTCGTATTTAAACTACAGTGATCGGAAGTAAAATCGCTTTTTATCACAATAAACCATATGCATAAGATTGTACTGTGTGTGTACTTTCAGTAGTCGATATTTTTAATTGATATAGTGATTCATTTTGTACAAAGTGATTTTGCTATTGACTATTTCTTGATAGATAAAAGGAACAAAGAAAATAACACAGGAACAAAGAAAATAACAAATACACATTGTAACCTACTCAATGCTTCGTTCATTTTGCATTCTTATATGGCAATACCATTGTCATTGTTGCCAAGGTATCGGGATGAGATCCGCCTCCACAATTTCCAAATTTGGACAGTTTTACCAAATTTGGTAAAGGGTGTATTGTATAAGCTTTAAATCATTTGAAACAAGCCTAGATAATAGCCTACTGTTTTATAATGGAGTTGAATATGTAACACGTAAAATGTGTTTTTCTGATATGTTTGAAAATAAAAAATAAAAATAAAGATATTTGTAAATGATTGATTATCTGGACTGACATTATTTAGGATGAAAGTTGGTATTTTGAGTGACAGAAAGATGCTAATTTCTTTATTTTCATTGTATGGGACTGTACTCCGGAAATGATGGTGTTCTGAAACAATATAAAGTCGAAGAAAATAACCGGAAGTAATAAAACATTAATGTCTCAGCTCATGACACTGACTGGCTTTGATTTTTATATGACCTTTAACTCATTCAAGATACGAAATATATCAACAAAAAAGCTGAAATTTATGTACTTTCAAAATAAAATTTAAAAAAGAATATTGCACACGGCAACGTGAGTCCTAATAAAAAGATATAATACAGTTTCCTCATGTATAAATCACTCACTGAACCTTGTAAGTCATGTGATGTATACATGTGATGGATACGTCAAGTGGTCTTGTGAATCACAATGGTTTGTAATGTACTTGTATGTTCAAACTATTAGTATTTACAAAAGTCAAGACGTAATTAAATCCGGCAACGAATATCAAACGTACAAATGAAATAAACTGAAAATACTGTTATCCTACAAGTTTTGTGTGTGTTTGTTTTTTTTTTGTTGATGTTGTTGTTTGTTTCTTTCAAGTAGATGCAACGTGCGATTTTCGTATTACAGATGATTAAGGAATAAATTGTGGACAATTGGGATATGAATATGTATAAATCTCTTGGTACGAATTATGTGTGTAATATATTATCCGAAGAGTCTTTATCAAAATACATGTATAGAAAATAGCCCTGAGGGCCTCGTCATATTCATTATAGTAACCGAACAGTCAGCCCACAAACATTTTAAGCTGAAGGCTTGGGAGTTGCGCTGACTTGAAGTTCAACGTATTAACATTGCCTTTCAAGTTCCCCGAAGTTCTTGAAAACTATTTATTAAATTATACCACACTTAACTTTGAATTTACATGATTTAAAACATGTTAGTTTCTACGTGACACCAAAAATCAATTGCTAAAATGAAAATGTTACTGAACCATTTGTAAAGTCTTCTTCGCGGTCATTCCACACTTGATATTAGCAATCCGATTAAAAGCTAAATGCGGACGTTAATATCATCATTTGTGGTTCGAAATTATTCCTTTAATGGCATAACTGATGACAATAAAAGCCACTTTAATGCCTTTACGTGCGAATGGACTGTCTACCTACACACACTTGCATAAGTAAAGAAAGAACACATTTTATGGCATGGTTAAAGAAAGGTTCATTCACATTTATGACAGTTTCAAGTCAGGCAAGGTGTAAACTCAGTTTCTTCTTTACTTTTCTTCTTTTAATGTCAGATATCATACCTTATATAAATGTATTCCGCCTTTATTTAAAGAAATGTCAACGAATTTTTAAATAAACATTTAAAGGATGCCGTAAGCGTTCCGAAAATATGCAGTGTCCACCTCAACGAGTAATATTATCTTTTTATCGGACCGCTATATTTAGTGACTAAAACATGACTTCTGAATGTTATTTGAACATTTACTTTAACTTTTTTTGCGAAAGATCGCGTTCGAAATTTTCTTTCCATGTGGAACTTTTATTATTTTATTATATGAATCTGAGGTATAAGCTAAGCAATAGTACTTCGGACATAATTTTAGTAAACACAAATTATAATCAGCTCCAATATATCTCAGCCTGCAACTTAGGTCTATTTAATGTTTGCGTATTGACTGACTGGCTGACTAATCGGTACGTACAATGCAAGGAGGCACTCAATAATGTGTTCTAGCTATTGTACAAACAGTATCATATCACACTACAGACATGCAAGCATCAGAAAGGGAAGGAGAAGGGTAGCAGTATGGTAAAAACATCGTAAGGAATTACAAGGGTAGATAGGGATAGGTACGGGGAGTGATAAAATGTTAAATGTATTTGTAAAAAAAAAAGAGAAAAAAAACTTTTTTAGACTTTTGCAATTCATTTGACTATTTTATCATTTGATTATTTCATTAATTTCAAACGAATATTCAATTTAGAAAATTATTTTTCCAGGCATTCGAATACAGATTAAAGGAGTGTTTGTAATTCTGCTCCATAAGTGCATTTGAGAAATAACATCAAAAATGGCAGGTGGATCTTCAACACAGCGGGATGCATTTCCACTGACTAAAGCACAACGCTCAAAATGTGAAAGTCTTGGTATATTGATAGGCAAACCTAAACACAGACAATATGGTACTCTTGACTCACGTATAAAATCATATGAAAATGAAAATTGGATTAAAGATAAAATACCGGGGATAAAAGAACTAGCAGAGGCCGGACTTGTATATACAGGTGTTGCCGACTCAGTGAGGTGTTACTACTGTAGTATCGGTCTAAAAGACTGGCCGAAAGACGCTTGTCCCTGGGAACAGCATATAATAGCAAGTCCTGATTGCGGACACGTAGCTCAGTGCAAAGGTAAAGCTTATGTCAGAAAAATTCTAGGGGTAAACGATGAAGATTCGGATGTTGAAGTGGACGATTCAAATGGATTTGTCGATACTGTAAAAGAAGCTATTAAAAGAAACGAAGAAGCTGTAACTGCAGCAAAGCAGTATTATACTAACGAACATATCATTAATAAAGCGGTCAAATTGTTGATAAAAACTGATCGATTAAAAACCTTCTCTTCTGTTGAACTTATAGCTGCTATTGAAGAAGTTGAAAAAGAGTCTAAAAAGGGAAAACAAACAGAACAGTTGGCCAATAACTCGCAAGCAAAATCTGAAGATGTAGAAACTGACGGTAGTACGTCTGAGACAGATGAAGAAGATGAAGAAGAACTAAACAGACAATTGAAGGAGCCAATTACTTGCAAAATTTGTTTTAACGCTATTGCTTGCATAATAACATTGCCATGTAGCCATATGGTTAGCTGCCCCCAGTGTATACCAGCACTTACTAAATGTGCAGTCTGTGGGGTCGATATTAACGGAACAGTGCGTGCCATCATGGCCATTTAAATGCTTATACTGATTTGCTTGAAGTTATTTGCCTGGCACTCGTTACAAGCATTCAACGAGTTGTGATCAATTTAAATAAGTATACGGATTACCGGGTAGATTATTCAATCAGATCTTAGTTTAAGTCATCAAATTATTTTCCTTTGTTTATTTGTCCTCGACAAGCGATCTAGGATATAGCTACGACCTTCCTTTGAAATGAGAATGTACTTATATTCATATTGTTACTTTCATTCAAAACGTTTTGTACATAGAATTCGATGACAGGCAATTCGCAGTTTTGGTGAATAATTTGAGTGCTGTTGCTGTTTTTATATGTAATTATCATGAGAATGATAAATTTAGAATTTCATTGTTTAATATTAGGAAACAGTAATATCATAGGTGCCTACTCGCTACATATTAACGGTTGTGATAATAAGGGTGTTTTTATATCTGTGTCTAGTGAAACATCGCGTGTCACAGTTATCTCATGAAAACTGAAATTTTTACTTCTATTCATATTTAAAAATGCAAACAAATATGTTGATGTTTTTAGACTCGTTTTTGTGGGAGAGTACCTTTAAAGGTCAAGGTATTGAATTTTGCTTGATTTTTGGTATAATTGGGTATAATTTCTGTTATTTATGAATGTATTGTGTTCATACTTTAGCTTAACAATCTTTAGGGCATTGCTTTTAAAAGGATCGAACTCAATTTGACCTTGACTCGTAAATAACCTTGACTTTGAAGATCAAATTATTGTAATTTCACTGAAAGTAAATAATTATTTACTAGCAAATACAGATACAGCTTTAAAAATTGATATAATAATCTTTGACATAAGACGTTGAAGAAGATTTAATTGAACTTGACATTGACCTTAATTTGACATTGACACTAAATTTTGCTACAAATGGCCATTTATTTCGTTATTCGTTTATGAATTTGATTTGTTTGAGTTGATACATAGACAATCTTATCACTTATAACAATATTGACATGTTCTGTTATTAAAGTCTGGCTGACTTTGACCTTTAAATGACCTTCACCGTCAGTGTCAACTATTAAATTTATTTAAGTTCTTATTTTTTTTATTTCTTCGCGGATTTTACTTACACTTGGACAAAAGAATCTTTTTGACGAAATCCATATGCTGAAAAATTCATTTATTAAAAAGACTTTAATTTGACCTTGACCGGTCAGGCAACAAAGTCAAAATATTGAAGTTTGCTTTTGGATTTGATTTACTTTTGGCAAGAGAGCACATATGACAAAACCGACATGTTGAATTCTTCTGATATGACATTAACCTTTCATTTACTGTGATAGTCAAAGTCAAATCATTGAAATTTGCTTCAATTGTAAAAAGTACAAAGTTTGCTTGGATTGTAATAACTTCATTATTTACTTATGGATTTATTTTAATTCTTTTCTGGACAAAATAACACGAATTCTATTTTTTTTCTTCTTTTGCATTAATTGACCTTCTATTTTTTATATTTTTTTCCCATGATGTACAATTAAAATCTTAATTTTTATCTTAATTTCTTTATTTTCATTATGATCATTTTTGTACTTATAAATATTGATATTTAAAGAATGACAAGCATTCAATATAAATAATGAATGTTATGGTGGCTGATTTAGAACGCTTTTGTGCGCCGTGTTGTCGCTAGCGACAACAGGACAAAGCGTCAAACGACCCATTGTTAGACTTTCGTCTTGTCGTCCTGTGGCTAACGATAAACGCCAAAAGGCGCGTTGTCGTGCGGCGTGTTGTTGCGAAGTGGGTTCAATCAAAGGACTGGTTTATAAGCCAAGCGACAGTGCGACATTGTGACAACGCGCGGCACGACAACGCGCTGTTCGGCGTGCTTTGCCAGAGACAGGACGACAAGACGATAGCGCGACAACGCGACGTTTGGCGCTTTGTCGTATTGTCGCTAGCGACAAGACGAAAAGGTGATAACGACATAGCAACGCGCAATGTTCCAAATCAGCCACCATAGAATATTATCATTAATGACAATTGTGTCATTCCAAGGAGAGAGTTTCTAAAAATGTAAAATGTAATTTTATTGCGTATATTATGTTTGATTGAAGTAAATTATTGTTCCAACTATACTAACTCTTATGAAAAAACTGACATGATGGTTAATTCAAAGTGATGACTTGACCGTCAATGTCAAATTAGAATATGAAATTTGAGTTATATTTTGTACAAAGAAAACTTAGTTTTCCATGAGCATAGTACTGCAATATTCTTTCTCCCATATGTTAACCTTTAGAAGTAAAACAAGCTGGTTCTGGCCACGGTAGACGGTGTTTCTTTGTTAATCAAAGCATTTGATTTATTTGAATAAAATTTTTTATACAAGATTCAAACTAGTCTTTATCATCCATTACATTTGAGCCGCGTCACGACAAAACCAACATAGTGGGTTTGCGACCAGCATGGATCCAGACCAGCCTGCGCATCCGCGCAGTCTGATCAGGACCCATGCTGTTCGCTTACCAACTCTATTACAAGTGAAGAAACTGACAGCGTACAGCATGGATCCTGATCAGACTGCGCGGATGCGGATGCGCAGGCTGGTCTGGATCCATGCTGGTCGCAAACCCACTATGTTGGTTTTGTCGTGACGCGGCTGATTTGTAGGTCATTAAAAGCAAACAACTAGATTCAAACGGACTCAGGCGTTCCAAAAAAAAATAGATTGTACTTTGGATTATTAGTCTTCGATTGATATAAATCATGAGGTTTAGGTTTGGAAAGGATTCTTTGTTCAAAGATACGACGTTTAATGTCAATCTTAAAAAAGATAATATGATGTTGTCCAGATACTGTTCGAATAACGATTACTATTATAAAATAAAAACAACAATAAATAAGATATTTCGCTATGCAGTAGTTTCATAATTTCTCCAATACATTTTATGAGACTTAAATTGTATAGTTATAATAAGTTAGTACATTTCTACAAACATTTTCAATGTCGGTAAAAGCTCGCCTGTTCGCTGTTTTCTGAAACTTGGTTGTTGTTCTGAAATGGTTGCCAGCCTGCCAGGATTGTTCGCATATTTTACATCCAGTCACATTTCTCTCTAACACTATTCTTTTTACATAACTCATTATCTTTTGTGATAACTCCATCCCAATAAAATCATACATGATTTTTGTCTGCAAAGTTGGATTTGCTACTAGTTTCCCATATTTTACGGTTAAAATTTTATTATTACTGTCTCTTTGCAATTTTGCTTTTACAAGTGTATCATTCCAAACTCTGTCGCAGTGACGTTTCGCGCAATTAAGCGTCACATTTCTTACGTCACTACAAGCGTCATTACGTAACTGAGATAGGACAGTATATCTTGGATCCCTTATTACAGTAATGACTTTAAACCATTTTATATCAGACAAAATAGCTTCCATATCTAGCATAGAGGTACGAATTGTTTTTATGATTCTAACTTTTGAGGACAAGCATGCATTTTGAAGCGACTGTAAACACTCGTCATGCAATCCTCGATGAAATGCCGATGTCCGAATGTAGACTCTGGAAATGTTTTGACCTGGGTAATTTATTGTGCTGTTGTGGTTCCTAAGAACACAGGTTCTGTACAATGTCGTCTGCTTACCGAATGCAAGGAACCCCAAGTCATCGAATGATTGGGCATAGACGAGCGAGAAATTGCAGGAAAGCCAGCCGATAAGAGTTTGTCTTTTGACATCTGCAGCAATTAAGCTGTTCATGACACTGAAAATGAAAACATGGAGAATAAAAAACATTCATTCGTACAAAAGTTATTTGTATGCAGTTAATAAAAGAGAGTAAAGTTAAGGAAAATAAGGAAATGGCAAAATGATGAATGAATACAGCATCAAAACAGAATTTTAAATGTTTTTTTTTTTGTTACACTGTCAAATGCAACCAATTAATATAAACTTATATGTCATTGAAACTTTTTAAAGCTATGTTAGAAGTCCTGTTTTGACATGAAATTTAATTCAGTTAAATTGGAATCTTAAAGTTCGCCAAACTTTGTTAAACGATTATTGTTGATTAAAAATTATTTGTGCCCTACAAGGTGACTGATTCATCGATATGTTCAAATTTTCGACAAGGCAAATACAGTGAACCATGAAAACAAAAAGTCTTAATCGTGTTTTCCATTAAATATGTCGTGTCTTCGCGCTGCCACATTAGCGGGAAAAGTGACGGAAAGTCAACTTTCAACGCCTCTTGCGGTTTCAATCTTTTAAACAGCAATGTGCATTGCAAAATGAAATACAATTTTTGAGAAAGAAACAGATGCATTACCAAAAACTGCAATCAAAAATTTTGCCTGCGTTACTTGTTTTTAAAAGATAGGGAAATTTGCTCTGCATCTCAAGATTTGGTTATAAGCAAATGTGATAAATAATAAAATTGTAGACACCTGATGGTTCCATTAAACCACTGCACGGGTTTCTCGTGCTTGATCAGATCTTGAAGTATTCTCAGTGGTTCAAACACGTAGAATACATTATTATTCTGTTGTAGAATATCCCCTGTCACTGAAGACCCACTTCTCATGTATGTTAATATGACCACGCCAGTATAATTCTCTCCTGTGTTTAAAAACAAAAACAAGTTGACTGAGGTTTTTTGGACAAAATATTTTTCGATATCCATGTACCCTTTGATGTAGGTCTGTAACCAGTATCTTTTTTTGCATCACCGCTCATCCTGTTCTGAAAGGTATGTCACAGTTTAAAATTGTTCACTAATTAGGGGAGATAGTGTGTAAGCGTCAGAATAGCTCAGTCGGTAAATCTGCGGTTAGGTATTCCAAGGGTCCCGGTTCTAGTCCCTGCCAGGCTGCACATTTTTCTCACCCTGTGACATGTGTTATTCTCTTTTCTTTAATTATTTATGTGCGTTAACCCTAACCACCCTAAATATCTTAAATGTACTTTCCCGCCTATCAAACTCGACAAAACCTTTCATATTTCAAGGGCATAACGTACTGACTGAAAAGTGAACATTATAGCAGACAACAATCGGACAAAACTGATCTTGACCTGACACAGGTCGCATGAGTGTCCGCCATCAGGCTAATGATTTAATAACTGAAACTCAGATTGTTTTGTTTTTAAAGCATCCTCTTGATAATAAGAATAAGAATTTCACGTGACTGTATAGTTTTTGAAAAAGAAATAATAAATTTAGCCGCGTCACGACAAAACCAACGTAATGCGTTTGCATCCGCGCAGTCTGATCAGGATCCATGCTGTTCGCTTACAAACCCCATTACAAGTAGAAAAAATGATAGCGAACAGCATGGATCCTGATCAGACTGTGCAGACTGGTCTGGATCCATGCTGGTCGCACACGCATCACGTTGGTTTTGTCGTGGCGAAGCTCAACTTTCGCCGGCTCTAAAATATATGATGTTTTATTGATTTACCGACAAAATGTCTAGAAGAACTGTCATCTTTTTCGGCTATTCTGGTTTTCGTCCATGCTGTAAATTTAATATAATTTATATTTTATAAGTGACAACGCATATAAAAGAACACACAAAGAATAGTACCTGAAATTTGTTTAACGAACAATATTTATATATTACGAGAAAAAGCCTTTGAACTGAGAAAATATCTTAATTTCCATTAAAAATACATAATAATTATAATTGTGAATTAACTAATTGCCAAAAAGCAACAGAAGCAATGGATGGTTCAGGCTGGCAAGTAAGTAAAGTAACTCCAATAAAAGCTTTAGAGAAATAAAAAGCAAACTGGTATTAAAGGGCCTGTTGTGGTTTTTACTGAATAAAATCCTTTTGAATTACTTATTAAATTAATGAAGAACAACAAATAAACACATATATGTACTTTATATGTTAAACAGAGAATGGATATAACTATAATCTGAAAACTTGCAAATTTACAATTAAAACTGCAAAATACGCCTTTGTTGACAAACGTAAGAAAAATATCATACCTTTCGCATGGAGAAACACACTCATTGGTTTTAGAATTGACACTGTGATTACTATGCTTAAAATCCCCAGAATTCCGAAACGCAATCGAATTCTGCATACAAGTCTTCTTACAATCACTGCAATAATCGCAAGTAAGAAAATACATCATTCATAAAAATTCCGAAGAAATTATTTAATTAAGGATATTGATGAATACAATAACGAAGAGGAAAAGATAAAGCTTCTAAGACCACTAATAAACTGTATATCAAATCATCGCAAAGACTTCTTTATGGCGGATGATTTATGTGATGTCGAACGGCATGGTGTTTATCAGCTACCATACTTCTCCGAACTTTATTAGTTACACTGGGTACTTTTAGGGCAGATGGAGCGGGATAAAATGCCTCAGACTCGTTTCATTGGGTCTGTACATGTATGTCAGTGAATATAGCAAAATTCCAACCACGCCCTCGTCACCCCATCCCTAGCGCTTGCTAAACAAAATTAACCAGAAGGTTTGCTTAAGAATTTATTAACATATACCACGAGACTTTCAATGTGACTCCTTTGAACCGTGTCACTGACGTGCCCTATATAAAAGCAAATTCGACCTTTGATTTTCACTTATAATATATATGCATGCCTAGAAGATCCTATAATAATGTAAACAAGAGCAGTATATAAGTACTGTTTATACATGTTTATACAGTATATTTGACACAGTAATTAGGAATGCAATTCTTGTTACCGATCCCCACTCAAAATTATATTTTTGTTTAATTTCGGTCATTTAATTAATGCTATAATATATAACAGTGAAGGGATCAATATATGTTAATTAATAAAAAATAATGCACAAGTCAAAAAAAAAAAAAAAAAAACGTTTACTCTCCTTGTATATGATAAATTACTCCGATACGAACTTTACAGGGGACTAATTTTTGTTTAATATAAATTGCCACTTACTTGAAACTATTGTACGATGAGATTAGTCAATCTACACAATTACACATTTTGCATCCTTAAATAAGTACTTAGTCAACATGCTTAATAATCTGTATTTTGATCGAAAGTGTAGGAAGTTAAACCGGATGTTGTTTAAACGGATAATTACGAAAGAACAGTGGGGACATTTTAACAAAACGTTTTCAACTTCGTGATTTCATTATTTCAGTGTTATGATACCATGATTTCAACTTCAAGAATTCTCGATTTCAACTTATTGAATTCACGTTATAACATTTTCAACTTCATTTAAACACGAGTTCTTTTTGTAATAGAATATTCATGACATTCAAATGGCAACTTGACGTTGTATTGAAGTTGTACTGATAAATACACGTTGTATTTAATAAGTTAAAATGTCCTTACCGGTCATTTGTAGATATTGTCTGGTCTATGCATTCTATTTTCCCATAAATATAATTATCATGATATGATTTAAAATGTATCTGAAATGTGGATTCAATTTTCCGTTCTCGATTATTTTTTCATACCAATTTTTCAAGTAATTTATTAAACCGGGTTAAAATACGCGTAATTACAAGGCCAATCTTTCTTTTTTTCAGATTAGTACCCTCACAGAAATAAAAAAAAACAAATATGTACGTTTTCGTACTTTGGATTGTTCAGTAGCGAACAGACGATGAGAAAATATTTGAAATAAGAAACGGCACAAACAAACAGTTTAGCAGCTTGTATAACTTATAGTCTATTGTACTGACAAATGAATAAACTATCCAATATCTTGATAGTAGATACTTTTCTATCCAATGTTTATCAAAAGAACGGACAGTTATTTTGTTAACCTTTGGATGTTTGCAGCTGATGTTGATTGTTATGTATCAGTGCTGGACGTTATCCAGTAATTCATAAATAAACTATAATCTTGTATATGTTTTATTAAAATAATCAAATATTTTATTCATATATCATTTATAATAAATTCAGGCATAAAGCAACCTTATAAAGATTTACATTTTGATACAACAAATTAAACAAGTTTACTTTACTTATCCGTACTTTTAAAAGTGACTTTTATAGGAAACACATGTTGTTTAAAAGCATAATTGTTTATTTTATTTATCCATTTTTATGCACTAACAAACTCAATTTATAAAGTAATACTTGTTTCCAAAGAGTTATACTTCTAAATGTTTGATATGTGTTACCATGAATTAAATAAAGTCAAGTCCTAATACTAGTAATAAATTAAAGGATCAATCCGTTGTTTCCTTGAGCAAGAAACTAACATTTATTGCTTAGTACTGGTTAGTTCCAGGAACGGATTCGAGAGTGTTTCAATAAGCTGATAGCTTCCAACACAATCGACCAAAAATAGCATTAGTTTGATAAAAGCTTTTTTCAAAATTTGCATAATTCAGATTAAAATGTACAAATAATTCAGACAAAGTACACAATAAAACTATGAAAATGATCTTCTATAGCAATAGTAGTAAATTTGCTTTCTTACTTTTTTCAATTTTATTTACATATTTCTTTCTTGATTGAATGTAGAAAGCAATATCGGAATTTGATTCTTTTGCTCTTTTTTGTTAAAGGTAAGAATAAAAGAAACCAGAAATATACAATAGACAATTCTGTAGCCCCTTAATATGAGACTTTGTCAGTGATGTTCCTTATCTTTTCCCAGTTTACTACCACTGTTTCATTTTTTCTAAGTGCTTTAATAAGATGAGACAAAAATTTCTTCTTCCCATCTTGATCTTTCCATTCTTTCAGGACATGAAATATTTTAGTTGCTTCACCGGAATATTGATGTTCCATTTTAATGCGTTGCACTTTATCAGAAGAAACATCCAACTCAACTGCAAGAAGCTCCCAATTGCAACCCAGTGCCTGTGCTATTTGCGAAAGATCATGATCTGTTGCGAGTCGCTCAGCATGTTCTCCATTTACAATGCTTAGTGTCCTTTCATTCTGAAACCATTCAACTATTGCTGATTGAATATTTATTCCATGTTTCTCGTTATCTGGACAAACTACAGTAATGTCATTTTTAATGTCATGTAATACATACGACTTCTTACTACCATGACTTTCATGAAAGTTGTCGTTGCATTTAATATAATGATTAAATGAATCTTGTCTCATATTATTTTGCAGTTTTTTAAATTCCTGTTGAATTGCCGTCTCTACTTTTCTACGGAAGTCATCACATACTGCATTAAGATCTTCATCTGATTCAACCAGTCTGATAACCATCAATTCAAGACCCTCATTTTCAACATTTTGAATCCTACCTGCATGCCGACGGTTAAGCAATATGTAAGCCAAATTTTGAAACACTAAAACCTGGTCTCTGAATTCTATCGGAGGGAAATTTCCTAAAACTGCAGCTAGCACCCTTTCATAAAAGGTACTAATCATAACATTATTCCTCAGTGAAAGTCCGAGTATGACACTCGAACATGTTCTTCCATTAATAAAAGTTTTTGTAGTTTTATCAGGGCAGCTGACTTGCAAAAAGCTTGGGATGATATAATTTTGTGTTCCCTTCAAAATGATTTCAGCTCCGTGTCCTTCTGTTTTCAAAATTTCCGCTAAAATTCTATGTCTTATTAAGAATTTTAGAATTATATTTGAAAATTTGGAGAAAAGCTGATTTTTTGACCAAACTGCATCTAATAGTTCTTTCTCTAGTATAGCCATATTTGTCATTCGTTTTCTAAGGTCGTGAAGTTTTGGACATCCGTCACAAATTGCCTTTGATGTAATTATGCATCTGAAAGCATCAATGAGAAATTGAGGATTTAAAATCACGTATTCTCCGAGTTCTTGTTCATCAAAATAAACAAGCGTTCCCTTGTCATGGTGGTACTTAAGAAAGACTTTTAGCTCATCTGTATTTTGTGGAAAGTCAATTTTGGTAGTCAAATGTAAAATTTCTTTAAATGAAAGGATATCCCTTTGATTTTTTTCCAACAAAGACATTTCTAAATGAATCCAACTTGCCGGCAGTCTCTTTGCTGCTTTTGCTTTTTGTTTTCCAATATCATAAATTGTATATCGCAGCTCTTCTATTGCAGAGTCATCCGGGCTAGAGTTATCGACGGCGAAGGTTTTGTCAAAGATGTGTTTTCGTACTTCAGTGCCTGCAAATAAATCTTTCACCTCTGTGAATTTTGCTTCAAGGTTTCCTTGAAATGAATTTTTATGTGTGCCCACGAGTATCACTATTGGCTGAGTACAGTCGTTTGTTCCAACATACGTGTTTATAGAATTCACCCAAAACATCAAGCTGTTTTTCATTTGTTCCTGTCTTCCCGGAAAGTCACAATCTTCAATCACATTATCTAGATCTTTATTCAGATTGAATACAAGCAAGTATATAGCATCCCTTGAATGGAATATCTGATGGGTAGTATAATAGATGTATTGTCCTCCAAAGTCCCAGATGGTCGCAATAAGATCGTTCTTTGCTGAAGGTTCTATTTTATGTGATTCTTCGATGAAATGTCTCAAAAGATTTTTCTTTTGAGCACAAGTCTCAGATTCTGTATATTCTAGACCAAGGTTATTATCATTGGAACATTCGTTCTCTGCATCTGAGTTTGTATTCTCTGGTTGACCACTTCTTGGTGAGGAGTCAGAACCAGTTTGCATGTCTCTGTTTCTTTCGAATTCGCATTCGGAATTTGTTTGATCACTTTGAGGTGGCGTTGTTAAATCTAGTTTGTCATCGCTTGGGGTATCTCTAGACACTAAAACTAGCCGACGAGAAAGCTCTCGAACCTCTTGTTTAGTTTCAATTATTTCCCAATTTCCCTTTTCCTTCACTTTACACTTTCTTATATGGACATCAATTCCGTCAGTACTTTCAAGATTTTGTAATGGCTCTTGTAAAAGTCTTTTCGTCAGAGACGTTTTTCCTTGTGCATAAAAGCCAATAATGTTTATTCGTATGTTTTTGTCATTTTCTGTACCCCTTCGTAACGCTCGATCGAAGATTTCTCTTTCCTTTGGGTCAAATATTTCATTGTCCACCTGGAAGTATCCAAAGTATTGAAAAATTTATTTATACACTCCATATTCCTTATGGATAATCATGACACGATTACAAGTTAACATGGCAAATGAAAGTTTCAATCTTTATAATGATAACTATATTAATTGTTTTGTGATATTAAATAAAAAAGTCTGATAGGGAGCAAAGTGTGTTAATGAGTTAAAGTTATATCAAGCCCTAAAATTGCTATTATCTTCTTATCTCAAAAGCTTTTTGTTTTGGGTGTTCCGAAACGGTACCATTGTATATGTAAATGACCATTTTGCTGATTCATCATTAGTAAAATAAAAGTAATTAAGTAATTTTCCATACTCGATGTAACTTTCTTCACGTGATAATAATTTAAGCTCTAAATCCATTATTGAAAACTTATGAATCAACAATTTGCCCATTTCTTCAAAAGGAAAAAATGGTATTCATTTCTCTTGTTTAATTTATCTTTAACATTTTCGTCATTTATTATTATATGCCTAATTTATATTTTAAAGTACCATTTCTTAGTAAGAAAACAAAATAACGTTTAGATGAAAATTAACCTTCTGCAGTTGAGAATCAAATGTTACAAATTCTAAAGTCTGTCCAATCTTCTTTTCCAGACACGTAAGGATTTCTTGTATTGGTGTTATTAGAAAACCGTCATCCTTTTTACAAAGTACAACACCTATACAATGAAACATATTGTTTTTGTCCACGAGGTAAACTCCTGCTCCAACGTCATTTTCATCTGCAAAAACATCATTTTCAACGGAATGCACAAGAATCTGCTCTCTGTAGGTAATGAACTGGGTAAAAGTACCGTCAGGTGATTGTCTCTGTAGAAAAAATGAATCACTTTTGACAACTCCGTCAGTAAAATGAAAGATTCCTTGGGTTAAACCAGTTCCACTTCCAACTTTTATCAATTTGTAATTGTCATCAACATCTTTGAAAGTTAAGCCCCTCGCATCCATAATTGAACCAGTGTTTCCATACAGCGAAAGGTAGTTTGACTGAAAACCTGTAAAATATAGATAGAATTGTATTATGTTATGGTTGTAATCTTAATATATTGAATATGTATTAAGCCAAACAATACCCCAAACGATTATTGGCAATGTCTAAAAAGAACCTTAATTTTGTATTAAATAGAGTTAACCCATTACTTCATGAGCTTTTTGTGAAAAATGGCTGTTTTCACTTAAAAGTCTCCCGTTACAAATTCAAATTGCTATAAAACTATAAAAACTGCTTCAATACTAATCAAACTTGGCACAAATGTTGACTGGACCACTGTCTTTGTAACAACATGCCCAGGCTTAAATTTCCTGTTACCATGGCAACGAGGGTACATCCCAAAATTGCCAAAAATCACTATTTTGCCTTGATTTTTTCCATCAAATTTGATTTCAAAGTGCTGCAACTTCTCAATGGATTGAGATAGAGTCAAATGTTTTTCAGCGTTCGTTACACGTTACCTCATGATTGATCTGGGGTCAATTTTAGCCTCTCACAAGTCCAAAATTTTCTTGGCGATGAGGCGGACTGCCCCCTTATTCATCCCCCCCCCTTCCCCCAACAGAAGGGGGCACATTCCCTTTCTGGCTACCCCCTGATGTATCTTTTGGTTGGGGCCGCGCCGAAAAAGTGGTCACTTTTTTAAACAACATTTCTCAAACAAAAACAAGTGTTGAGAGCCTAAATAAGACATTTTTTCACCATTTGAGACAACAATAAAGGGGGGGGTGAAAAAGGCGTTTAAATGCGTGTATATCGGGTAATGGGTTAAACTATCATAGAAAATACACAAGGCTGCATTTTAAAATTCTGATAATATCATAATGACTATTTTATAATGTAAATCTTGCAACGCAAGGGAAACAAAAATATGTTAAAACACTGAGTAAAGATATATTAAAATGTCAAATAGGGAAACGGTGAGCTAAATTTCATCAAACGTCGATGCATATGGGCGTAATAATTTTCATATTTATAAATTGAAGAAAAAGGAGGGTATCTGCCTCTTAACCAAATGATCAATAGTTCGATCTCTACTCTTTCAGAAAGTGGACTCAAGGGAGAATCAAATAAGCTTTAAGCTTTCAACGTGAAAATATTTCAACTAAAACTAATATGTTTAAAATAACTTATAGAAAAAGTATGACCTATTTCAAAGCATAAGTTTAAATAAACGGTTTGAGAAAGTGCATGCTTTGACTTCAATGTTATGTTGTCAATGCCATAAAATGATTACATTTTCAAAAACCACATATCAGTTTACATAAAACTTCTCCAAATTAATAATAAGTGGACTTCACATAAGAGCGTGTCTAAATAAATTTTACCTGCTTTTACTAAACCTATGAAAATAGAATATAACACATTTACTTGCCTAATCTTTCCATTTGTCTTGTTTCTACATCTATGAATTTTGGTTTCTCTGTTTTGCACTCTTTCGTCATCATAACTAAAACAACATCCATATTTTCGCTCAGTTCATCTGAAACAGTTTCTCCACAAGGTAGTTTATCTGCATTTCTTTCATAATTATATGTAAGGTAGACTGGTGTCCCTTTAAATGTGTCTGTGTGTTGAAAAGGTCCAAATATGTTTCTCGCTGTCAAAAAGCACAGGTCTTGTGTTTCTTTGATTCTTACAAAAGGTCCCACAGTCCCATGATTGACTGTTTTATCTGGTCGTATAGAACAACCTATTGCAACCTCGTTCTCCCGTTCATTTAAACCTCCTTAAATGAAAATTATGAAAATTTAGATTAATTGAAAATCAAGTTACGTATTGCATGAACTTCTTAAATACATGTATTTCCTAATTTATTAAAAGAAGCACAAGTGAATCTGCATGAATTCGAAAGCAACCAGACTGTTTTATAAACAACTCAAGCAATTATCTCAAAGTATTGAGACAAGATGGAATATCAATTTGACTTTTAATCACTTAGAGAAAATAATGGAATAAAATGTAATAACATGGCGACAAACTGAATTTACAGAAAATTGAACAATGTTATATAGAGTGAAAATGTGTAAATTGTTCGATATTTCCTCACTTACTAGTATCATTATGTACCTGACACGCGTGATAAATCATTTTTCAAAATTGCAATTGATTCGAAAGCTAGCAATATTCCACAACAAAAAATTAATTCCAGGAAAAATACGGAATACTCGTACATGTATAGCTATATATATCAATTAAATTGTCAATTTCATTATATTTTTGTTGTTTAGTATATTTAACAGTGACATCAATATTATCTCCATTACCTGTTTTGTCGTTTCTTTCTGTAGGCTTCATAGGGGACTTTGGGGGCGACAATTCTTCAGACTGTCTTGGTTTTGTTCTCCGATATTTAACCCGCTCATGTTCTTCTTCATCATCTTCCTCTTCCAGTGTTTCTCTTTTTCTTTGAGACATTTTCACTACATAAGCACAATGCAGACAGAGACTAATAAAATGCAGATATGAAAACGTCTATGCATAGTAATAAAGTTGTTATACATGTCTCTTTTGTTATGATAAACAGTGGCAGTACGTGGTTTTAACTGGCGAAACGGTTGCAAACTTGACAAAATGGCGTCCGAGGGCGGGCGATACTGAGTGAAATGGAGGGGGTGGTGATAATCATCTTTAGGGACATTTTGCGAAAAATTTGGTCGGTTAACCTTTATAACAAAATCGTTAAAATAAGTCATGCATTTCATTCTCCTGGAAAAACACATCTTTTTCATGAATACTCAATTTTAAAGTAGGTTTAAACATAAAACTATAGGACAATTAATATAATGATCTGAACAAAGTGTGCAAAACCACTTCACGTCCTGCTCCTTAATATACAATGTATACACAATAACATACACCGTGTTGTAATCTTATGAAGCGAGAATTAGGTCAGATATTGCTGTACACTGTATATACTTCCGTATCGTATCGACGGCGATTCACCCAATAAGATATATGATTAAATGGCCTTGAAAAGATTTAAAGAGCAAAAACAACTGTAAATATGTTTTACGTAAATTTCTTTTTTTTCATTTAGCCTTACGTGCGTTGCGACCTGACAAATCTACAGTTAAAATGGAATCTACAATTGCAATAGCATCTACGGTTATTATATTATTTGACTTTTATTATGTTTATCATCCGTGTTAATTATTAATTATGTTTAGGCGGTATTAAAAACATATTAAATCTTAAGGAAATAAAAAGAAACTAACCTACCTCTTAAAACTTGTAAAACGTAGTACAGTGCATTTTTGGTTTCGTATTTATCTTTCAGTGCGCATGTCTGAATCATTCATGTTCCGACCGTTAAATCGATTTTAATTCTGCATGTCACATAACGTGTTTAAACAAGACATATTTTACATATTACAGTGATATCATACCCATTCAATGGTATATAGTGAATGAATTGGTAAAATTCAAAATAAGTTAACATGTTGCCATAACTCCTTTCAAATTTATAATATACTTCTCATCCACAAGTGCCACAAAGAAATTCTGTTATTATCTATCGGAATTTAAATGAATGTAGCGTCTTTTTATAGTTTTTATTTTATCCCTACCATTTTCAAAAAATCAACTTTGGTCAATCACCAGAAAACAATAAAAAAAAATCCACAAATGTTCTTAAAGATTACATTTCTAGTCGCCATGTGTATGAGAAATTTAGAGAAATCCATTGAATAAAATTTTCATAGAGAAGAGCCAATTCTATTCAAAAGGCTCGGTTAGATTTTTCTTATTAATTCAGACTTTTTGCATGAACTTTAGTAATACAAAGAGCACCGGAACACTAGGCTATCAAATGTATACACACCGGTCTCTCAAATATCGAGTCAGTAAGACCGGTGTATCTGGTAGCCCCCGAGTATTTAGATTCAAAGTTTGACATTAACATCAGAATGACATTGTCATGGTCAAGATTTTAATTTTGCTTAAATTGCCATAAGTTTGTTATATGTGGGCATATTTAACTCATACCGACACAAAACAATAACACTGGCACATTTAGCGTTGCTCTTTATTACAATCATGTGTTGACGAGAGGGAAGTATTCTTTCTGATTTTATTTAATAATTATACACGTACTTTGGATAAGATCATTTACACCCATTCAAAAGAAAGGAAACTGATTTGAGGACAGGAATAATCAAATAGAGCCTGCAACATTTAATGTCGTTTTGGACATTCTTTAGGGATTCTTTATTTCTCTCTATTTTGTTAAAATCAATAAATAATCGCTGGCAGATGTGTATACATACAAAAACGTCAAGGACATTGGAATTCATGGTCATTTTTGAAAAGCTGTTTTATGGAAAACATGAACATTTTTTAAAAGTTGTTTTTGGGCAGAAGTCTCAGACTCTGTATATTTTAGATCAATGTAATTATCAGTGGAATAAACGTTTTATGTATTTGACTTTTCTAACCGACCCCTCTGAATGAAGCGTCAGAATTAATATGTATGTCGCTGTTTCTTTTGAGTTCGTTTTCGAAATTTGATCATCTTGAAGCAGCATTGGTACTTCTAGTTGTTCTTCAATACTTTTAAATATCTCGAACCCCATGTTTAGTATCAAGTATATCTCAATCATTTGCTATTCCACTTCCAACTTTTATCAATTTGTAATTTTCATCCACATCTTTGAAAGTCAAGCCCCTCGCATCCATAATTGAATGCATGTTTCCATACAGGGATAGGTAGTTTGACTGAAAACCTGTTAAATATAAAAATATAAATAGTACTTTGTAATAGATATGATTATAGGTTTTTACATATTTTATAACGTTACTCAATATGTGAACTATAGACATAAATACCCCCGCGCAATTTAGCAGCGAATAAAAGGTATATCAGCGCTTTTTAACAATAGGAAAAGAACATTATTAGTGTCAATTTTTAAGGGTAGTCATTGTATACAAAATCAAGCACTTCAACTATATCTTACGAGTGTATTGTTATCCCTGAACAAGGCCATGCATTGTTTCATTTTGTTTTTAAATTACCAAACAAAATAAACACGTTTGTCTGTGTGTACTATATTGGAGTAGCCCTTTGTCAACTTATGAAAGATTGATCAAACATGATTTCATTAAGTCTTTTAAATAAACCATGTTTCTGCTTTTGAAAATAGATGTACTTTTTATCCAAAAAAGAACAAAATGTCTGAATGCATGATATGATTTTTACAATATCTTATCATTGTTACAATTGGCCCACAGTCAAATTATAAGATTACATGTTAACATAACGTCTTCAAAACGTCTTACAATAGAACAAAGGAAATACTTGAAGCATTCACAAGATCGTTGTAAAAATAATTTGTCTACCGCCAAAGATATACAAAAAGGATAAACGAGAGACTAGATCTGTTTATTTGACAATACAAGCTAGCATATTAAACCTGAAATAAATGCAAATGTGCGCACTAAGTTTTCAGTCAAGTAGGTACATCAAAACATCTTGTTCTTACTGTCACATCTGTCCCCAAATGTCATTTTCTAAGGTATATCTTAATAAGTGTCTGATTTAGGAAATTGATATTAATTTTGAATGGAATTCAGAGATGTTATATTTACAAAGAGACTGTGTAGCAATTATCAATATTTTCAAACATCAAATTTGAGCATAGTATATCTATTTTATTTAAGTAATTATTAACTCTGAAACAAAACAAAACAGGCAATGATACTTTGAAATCAATTATTGTTGCCTCGAATCAAAATGCTTAAGGTTTATATGGTGAATGTATGACATCGGTAACGGACCTGTATTAAACATTGCGTTTAGCATGCGAATAAGAGAATTTACCAAATTGAAGGTTTCTGAACATTTTCCATAAGATTGACGCAATGCATGATCAGTTCCTGTTTCAATGTTGAACGAGTTTGATTCAACAGGATCAGTAAAGTACAAATGATTTCTTTATCAAGGGCAGACATTTTGATACCGATTGTAATAAATAGAACCTGAATCCGGTCCGATTGCAATAAGCGTGCGAAAAATTCGTGAAAATACAATTAGCAGACACCTTACAATGTCTAAAGTCAAATAGAGGGAAGAAAAGAATCCCTAAAGAACGCCAAAAACCACAAAATTGAAAATGCTGCAATGAGCCTGTTCTTTGTTGCAAGGTTGCACAAATTGTTTGATACGAAATATTCAAATCATGATGTGTAATGCATAAACGTTCATTTGTTGGACCCATGTAAATGGAAATAAATCAGAAATTTTATGGCACTGTTGACACTTTATTCAATACTTTTTATTTACCTTTGTTTCAGTCTGTGTCTTCATTTCGTCGACTGTTCTATGATCTAGTTCCAAGTTTATTCTGTTCTGTTATCAAATCTTAAATTCTATAGAAATTATTAACAAAATCATTTGTATAACTATTTAAACACGAATATTATTTGATCAATTTACGTCTTGATCTATACAAACTTATTACAAATGCTAACATAAACACTGACACAATTTAGGAAGGAAACGGAAATGAGAACTATTATCTAAATTTTATTTAAATGCTTTTACAAAATAATGAGAGTTCAAGTAATGATCATTGACACTCTTTCAACTCGACATTATTGTTGTGTGTACATGTGTTGGTATTTTAATTCCTTCTATTTGACCTAATAACAACAAAAAACATTTTTACATAAACACAAAAAGCATCATCACAAAGACAATCACGGGTTGCATTTGAGATATTGGATAGACTAATACTCTTATTAGACATACATTCAGACAAAATCATTTCAGAAAAAACACAAAACAAAACGAGTGAAGATTTTCTATATTATCAAACACTGGAAGTCTTCCATTTTGTTTAAGTCTTTATGACAATTCGTAATTTCAGCAATGGTTTCCGCATTTAGGGAACTAATGTAGCAACTTAAATTGTCAAGCCTTTGTCTAAATTGACTTTGAACAACCAAAGTATCTGTTTCTTAAAACGATCTTGGTGAGACCTAATTTTCTTATTTTCAACCCTTTCTAGCTGTAGGATCCCCCCTCCCACCCCCACTTGACACAATAGACAGAAAACAAGCGACCGACCTACTCCTTCTGCTAAATTTTAGAAGTGATTTTCTTCAACACACCTTCCGTGTCAATGTGTTGCTTCAACTTTGCTGTACCATGGAAGATCAGATAACGCTTGTTAAATAACGCTATACGTGTTAGAAGAGTTCTCTCCCGAATATTATCTGATACCCACATATAGCATTTTTCATTTTGATGTGTGCAGGTTTATCTGAAACAAATTTCGTCATAAAATCCTATTGTAAGATAAAAACGCATTGTATTTTGCATAATAAAAATGCATTATAAGTTTCACTATAAAGCGTGTTATGGGTTGCATCATAAAAAGCAATTATAAATTGTATTATTATTATTATTATTATTATTATTGTTATTATTAGTAGTAGTAGTAGTAGTAGTAGTAGTAGTAGTAGTAGTAGTAGTAGTAGTAGTAGTAGTAGTAGTAACAGCAACAACAACATAATGATTTAAAACCCAGTATGAATTACATCATGAAGCGCATTATATAAAATTACATTATAAAATAGAATTATGTGTAACAACATAAAAATGCAATACAAATTGCATTATAAAAGATAAAAATTTAAGATAAAAACACGCATTAAGAGCTTGAGTAGTTAAGACTGGACAAAGAGCTTGAGTAGTTAAGACTGGACAAAGAGCTTGAGTAGTTAAGACTGGACAAAGAGCTTGAGAGGTTAAGACTGGACAAAGAGATTGAGTAGTTAAGACTGGACAGTTATTAACTTTTTACAATGAGTTGTAACAATGCGTAATATACTCGAAGCACATGCTGTACTAACCTGTATTGAAATACATATGTTAACAGTTATATGTTTTCAAAGCTTCATTAATGCGCAACATACTTATCTAGAATCAAGCCACATATACTAACCACAACAACAAACACAATTTATTGTTTTTCATTATCACAAGCACGTGTTGCTATGGTAACGATATCGATGTTTACAGACCACCGGAAGCGTGTGATCGATACCTAATGTCTCTACAGTGAATCTTAGTGACAGTGAGAATTCAAATTCTTTTCCTGGTTCGTGGGAAAGATGGAAAATATCTCTGTGTTGTAGTGTATGGAAACAGCATTTTCTAAGAACACCCCATACAAAGTTTGTCTCTTCTGTCTAGAATGATAATAATAATTCTAAATAGACATATCAATCGAAAAAAATATAACATGTAAATAAATGATTAATTGGTAATCACAGTTTTGACATATATCTTAACACACATACTGAACATTCGTAGAATTTATTTAATCAAAAGCTATTACTTAACATAATTACTTTCTCCAGTTCTTCATTTCAATCTGCAATTAACTAGATAAAAAACTAAGACAGACACCCATTATTAGAAATCATTTTATAGAAAGAAATAAAGATAATAATAAAAATAATTGTCGTATCTTGTATGTATAATAAAATTAGAATGATTTTCATGGAACTGAAGAAGCTGTTATGCTTTTAAACACACCTAGGCCAAAGAGTTGAATTGTTAATTTTGAAAATTGTGAACAATTTTTTTCAAGTGACATTATGTCCATCGATTGATGGTCGTTGCACCGGTAAAAATCAAAATAACTTGACATTTTGTAATAATTGTGTTCAATTTTAGATTTACTATAAAAAAATAATAATCAATCCACATGGCCAACTAAAATTTATATGAATATCGGTAATGAGCACTTTTAAAACAAGAGGGCCATGATGGCCCTGAGGTCGCTCACCTGTATATAGGCCCCCCAACCCCCCCCCCCCCAACGTTGCAGGGACAATTTAAACCAAGGGCTTTTATTTGCACAAACTTGGTAGACACCCATAAGAAGATGTTTCATCCTAAAGATCTAAGCTCTAGCTCATTGGGCTTTTTAAAAGAAGATTTTTTTAAGTTTTTACTATACACATATAGTTAAAAACAATGACACCCCTGGAGCGGGGCCAGTTTTGACCCCAGGGCTTTTATTTGAACAAACTTTGTAGACACTTACTAGAAGATGTTTCATGCTTAATATCTAAACTCTAGCTATTTGGGTTTTTTCAAAGAAGATTTTAAGTTTTTGCTATACACATATAAAGAAAATCAATGACCCCCGGGGCGGGGCCAATTTTGACCCCAGGTCTTTTATTTGAACAAACTTTGTAGACACTCACTAAAAGATGTTTTCAAAGATATTTTAAGTTTTTGCTATACACATATAAGGAAAATCAATGACCCCCGGGGTGGTGCAAATTTTGACCCCAGGGCTTTTATTTGAACAAACTTTGTAGACACTCACTAAAAGATGTTTCATGCTTAATATCTTAACTCTAGCTATTTGGGTTTTTTCAAAGAAGATTTTTTAAGTTTTTGCTATACACATATAAGGAAAATCAATGACCCCCGGGCACAGGCACGAGTATCGGACCTGGGAAGAAAAATTATGACCAGTTTGATAATAAAACCTGTGTTCATCTTAAAAGTGTCAAAAACCAAAAAAAAAATGTAAATAATGACCTCCTTTAAAAATATACTATAAGTTAAGAGAAGGCCGGAAACTCCAGATTCGAGCCTACGAGCAAGGGATTCATTTCCCGGGCCGTTGTGAAAACAATTGGCCAGACAATTAAAAAAAATTTTTATCATTATTTCACGTTTGTATTAAGCTTCAAAATGAGACCAACCCCGAGTCTCTAGCCCTACCCGTTCATGAAATATCTCTCAGGAAACGAGCGAATTCGTGCTAAAAATCCTTGGTAGACAGAATTGCGGCACAACGATTCGGTACGTAAACATAGACTAATACATGTATGCCAGCTGAGTACGGGTCAAAATCACTTGAATTTACTAAATAATATTACTAAATACATTAAGTTGGACCACACACAACCGTCATTAGCATCTGATACACGCAAAATTCGAATTTCAAACCTTTCCACGGTCTTTAGATTCCTTTCTACGCCATTGTCAATCAGCTGTTCGATATTTTGTAACGAGTCTTCTGATTGGCCAATAGCAACGAAAACCGCAACGTTTCACACAAGGATGCCTAATGGCGTAGAAAGCGATTGAAAGACCGTGAAAATGTTTGAAACTCGAATCTCGTGTGTATCAGATGCTACTGACAGTTGTGAGTGGTCTCATTCAATGAATTTAGTAATATTATTTAGTAAATTCAAGTGATTTTGACCCGTACTCAGCTGACAAACATGTATTAGTCTATGTTTACCTGTTTACGTACCGAATTGTTGTGCCGCAATTTTGTCTACCAAGGATTTTTAGCACGAATTCGCTCGTTTCCTGATAGATATTTCATGAACGGGTAGGGCTAGAGACTTGGGGTTGGTCTCATTTTGAAGCTTAATACAAACGTGAAATAGTGATAAAGGTTTTTTTTAATTGTCTGGCCAATTGTTTTCACAACGGCCCGGGAAATGAATCCCTTGCTCGTAGGCTCGAATCTGGAGTTTCCGGCCTTCTCTTAACTTATAGTATATTTTTAAAGGAGGCCATTATTTACATTTTTTTTTTTTGGTTTTTGACACTTTTAAGATGAACACAGGTTTTATTATCAAACTGGTCATAATTTTTCTTCCCAGGTCCGATACTCGTGCCTGTGCCCCCGGGGTGGTGCAAATTTTGACCCCAGGGCTTTTATTTGAACAAACTTGGTAGACACCTATAAGAACATGTTTGATGCTAAATATCTTAGCCATAGCTCTTTGAGTTCTTTAAAAGAAGATTTTTTAAGTTTTTACTATATGCATATAGGGAAAATCAATGACCCCCCGGGGCGGGGCCAATTTCGACCCCAGGGCTTTTATTTGAACAAACTTGGTAGACACTTATTAGAACATGTTTCATGCTAAATATCTTAGCTCTAACTCTTTTGGTTCTTTAAAAGAAGATATTTTAAGTTTTTACTATATGCATATAGGGAAAATCAATGACCCCCTGGGGCGGGGCCAATTTTGACCCCAGGGCTTTTATTTGAACAAAATTGGTAGACACCTATTAGAACATGTTTGATGCTCAATATCTTAGCCATAGCTCTTTGAGTTCTTTAAAAGAAGATTTTTAAGTTTTTACTATATGCATATAGGGAAAATCAATGACCCCCCGGGGCGGGGCCAATTTTGACCCCAGGACTTTTATTTGAACACACTTGGTAGACACCCATTAGAACATGTTTCATGCTAAATATCTTAGCTCTAGCTCTTTGGGTTCTTTAAAAGAAGATTTTTTAAGTTTTTACTATATGCATATAGGGAAAATCAATGACCCCCAGGGGCGGGGCCAATGTTGACCCCAGGGCTTTTATTTGAACAAACTTGGTAGACACTCACTAGAAGATGTTTCATGCCAAATATCTAAGCTCTAGCTCTTATGGTTTTTTAAAAGAAGATATTTAAAGTTTTTTCTTTCGGTTGCCATGGCAACCAGAGTTCTGCATGGAATTAAATTCTTTGAACAATTTTTAAAGGTGACCACCAAAGGAACATTCCTGTAAAGTTTGGATGAAATTGGCTAAGTGGTTTATGAGGAGATGTCATTTAAAGTAAAAGTTTACGGACGGACGGACGGACGACGGACGGACGCCGGACGAAAAGCGATCACAAAAGCTCACCCTGTCACTTTGTGACAGGTGAGCTAAAAAGAAAAAAAGAGTGGATCAGTCTATTTTGTAATTTAGATCGGTTGTATATTGTTTCATAAACATTTTTCTTTATCAATTATTGGTTGATCATCATTTTAATAGTCAATCTTTTGAAAAATATATTACTAAGTCAATCCTACTAGACACTGAAAAATTGTACAACCTTGGGCAAAACTAAGTAAAACACGATAAGGACAAACAAGATTGATACAAACATAGATAGGAACACATTTGTCGATCTTTATGCAATGATCTCCCCTTAATTTTCGGCGTTAGTGTATTTATAAAGGTAAGTAACTGCTTCGAGGAGTTTGACTACTTTCGGTTTTTGCAAATAGGCACATCAGGGTCTGAAATTTCGCTACCATTATTTGTTTAATCTGACGACCCAAACAAATAAAAACGAGTCTGCCAATTTCCATGTAATTTTGTTTTAATAAATGCATCTGAGGGATCACTCTTTAAGCTTATTTTTATTTTCTTGAACATTAACTTTATTACAAATATATGTCATCATATGTAAATACATAATAAATCTGTAAGAATTCCACATGAAATGTAAGTCAATCTTTAATCAAGCAAGTTCGCAATTGGCATTTTCCAGCTTTCAGCAAATATAAATATACGCTAAGTGAGTACAGTTCGCTTTGAGAATTTTGTACGGATATACCGCTTTAAATGATGACGCAAGAGTGTCTGGAAATATCCGATATTTCTATATTTTCTCTCAGAATACCTCGTCTCTCGTGGATTTGGTATTGTTTGCTAATTGGAACTTAGCGTATAGCCGAATTATCGATTAGTTCCCAATACTGGAATGGAAGTGTCCATCACAGCACGAGATACTTTGGAGTAACAAAAACATTGGAACGTCCGTAAATTTAATCTCAGTCTAAAAGAAGAACTCTCATTTCTAATGCATAATACATACAGATGTCTCAGATTAAATTAAATTGTGTGGTGTTTCGATTTGCCTCTATTTGCAGACATTTGTGTAGGAAATATTTGTCTCGTGACAAAAGCATAGACATAAATTATGTGTAGCAAATTTCTTTGGTGTGTATCGGTGGCTACAGACACGCAACTGTAAGTTTATCACGGATTGAAGACTTCTTAAAGACAATTTTCATAAAATGCTATCATGGACTTAAACACATATTCTATTGGATAATATAGCGATTATTGTTTATTAAATGTAACATGAAAAAAAACTTTTGTTTTCGAAAGAAGTTTGTGAAGAACATACATTTTGGCAACTTTTACATTGATATCTGCAGCTAATTTACGAGTGTAGAATTATTTGTTTGGAGATTACTGGGTAAATGCTAGTGAAAAATCAGCTCAAATCGCTTCAACAAAATCACCAAAACTTTCTGTTATTAATGATAAACAAACAAAAACTCACATTATCTAAAATAATATCTCTCTTGATTGGGACAATGACTTCAGTTTATTGACGTTTGAATGTGTTTCTGTGTTATTTATAACATCGTCTAGAAAGGATTAAACTTGTTATTGGAAAACTCAAACATCGACCTTTACTCTATCTAATGACGCTTCTACAAGTTCATTAGACTGCATTATCACCTCTCTAAATGAAAAACGTTCTGTGATAAATTAGTCAGATACTGTTTATGACGAGCTTGAAATCATCCTTTCTTCAACATGCTGTTATAAAAATGGAAAAATCAATGGCTGAATAAGATTTTGCTAGAAAAATGCAGAGTCATATTTGTCTGTGACAGTTTTTGAAAAGTTGCTGGTATTTCAATAATTCATTTCGTGTATAGAATTACTCAATAAACGCATGGTGCTGGCAATGTCAAGGGAATTTGCGATTTGATACATTTTGAATTCGTGTTTTACATAGAATCCTTGTTATATACGTGCACCGTGTTGAGTTGCAGACATCGTTCGAGCGTTCAATGGGTCTGGCTCAGCAAATAGAAAGATGTCAACTGTATACTTGACCTGCTCCATGGAATAAACCTTTGTTTTATAGGTACGTTACTTATATTTTATTTATTATATATCTCTTTAAAAGTTTCAAATTGTTTAAGACTAAAGAGGGTATTTGAAACACTGTCGCATGTTGAAAATGGAACAAATTAAGTGTTGATGTTTTTTTCTTTCTTTACTGAATGATATTTAAACATCTCCTTAAAGTTTACATTAACTAAATCAAGCATATCTTATATAATAAAATGCGATGTTTCTTTGGTTACAACAAAATAACATTGATTTTTACATTACCACAAATTTGTATTATTCATGACATTGATGATAACATCTTATTCATTTTATTCGAACATATTACATTTTATGCTCGTAAACTGTCGGTCTACTATTAGAAAATTAATTGAATGTATATCAGAAGGGTTTTGTGTCTTGCTGAAAGCTGAATTCGTTTCAAATATAATCGAGTATTCACATTTGCATTGAAAATTTCAGAATTTTTTCGATACGTTATCCTGAAATTCAAGATTCAAGGCAGATTTGAAACAGATTTTTTTTTAATAAGCCGACGAAATAATTTGAGATTTGGTTTTAAACATATTTATTTAAGCTCGATTGCGAAACAAGCAACTTATTTTACTTTATATTAATCACTTTCGAGTCCGCCTCCAGTACTGGCGTCATATGAAAAAAAGATGGTCGTGACCCCATTAGGGCTCGAACCCACAATCTCTGGGTTGAGAGGCAGACACCTTAACCACTCTCATTATATTTGAGAATAGATAGTTACATTAAAGTAAGAAGTCTTTCCCGGAATACAAACAATGTTGATAGAGAAAAAAATAGCAGAATGTCAATGTATAATTCTCAAACTATGAATCTTGTATCTGACTATATGAAAAAAATATAACTGCATGCTTCCGGATAAACTAAATATTTCAAGAAAGTCAAAACTTGACAAAAAATTAAAAAAGTAATTATACTCACACTTCAAGAAATAATTTTACATGCTATATGCAATCAATGACTGACTTTTAATTCTGCTGACTTAAAAGTTGCTTTGTTGATAGATTGCATTACTTTTTGCTTCGTCTGCTCCATTAATATCCCCGCTGTAGGCATTCAAAGAAATTAGTATATACATTTTTATTTGTATATAATATAGATAATTATACTAGTATATAAATAAACTGTAGGCTTATATTTAGTGTAACTGCATATTTTTTTCTGTAACTTTTACAAATGTACATAATAATCATATTATTAATGATCTTGAAAGTTTCAAAAGCACATATTCCTTATGTTTGCTGTGGTAAATGTAAACTGAAAATGAATAAAGTAAAACTGAAAACAAATAAATTCAACATTAGCATTGTAGGAAATAAGAATACATTTTACTAGTTACAATTTCTTCCAGAAGAGCAAAACTATTTCAAGATAATCAGCTTGAGTAAAATGTATAAAGATGATAAAAGTAAAGAGATGCAAGATTCAAGAAATAATTTACATGTTATGTGCGATTATATTAAAAACTGGTTTTGCATTTTAGCACCATATTTCTACTGCGTGACTTACGTAATTCTGACCTACGATTATTGTAAGTGCCTTTTGCAATTTGTAAATTACTTTCTTTGCTTACTTCACAATATTTTACATTTTCAGAATTTTGATGAAAATTAGCTTGAATCTGGAGGCATGCTGCTTTAATATTGTTTGGGCTATATAACGTTTGCCCCCAAGTCTTATGACATGGATAACGATTTTTTTATATCGTTAATGATGTATTATTATACGGTGTATGTATATAATAACTACATAGAGGATATCCGAGTTTTTTCTACAAATACAGGATTTATTTTCACCGAGTGGTATGAATGAATGGCGGTAGCCACGAGTGAAATATGATAAATTTCATACCACAAGATGAAAATATGTCCTGTATTTATAGGACAAAAACTTGAAGTTTCTGTTTATTATATACATTTTTTATTTTGACATTACAATTTGAAGAATTTCTCCCCTGTATTTTGTGTACAGGCCGAATTTAGCAGAAAGTCCGGCCAGACACCAGTGAAAATATGTTATGTTTCATTGTAGTGAAAAAAAATTACAGTGAAAATACAGAAAATGAAAATACACATTCTATTTTATCAATATTTCTCAGTATTTCATTTATAAGTATGTAATAAATACTCGTATATAAACAAAATGTCAAATTATTTTTAACAGTAAATGAATATACAAAAAGGTAATAACCATGGCTACAACAAGAATAGGGATCAATAAATTATCGACGAAAATATCAAATGACTATCTTTTACTGTAAAGAATCTTATAAGAATGAGTTTCGGTCTTTGAAATTGAATTTCAATATAGAATCAAGAACAGTCATTCCTCTATCACAGAAACATAATGAATTTTATTCCATATCGGCTTAGGTATACTAATCAGTGAATTGGTCTATAATTAAAGGTATGTAGTAATATTACGTTCATAGTATTTATTTTTAGACATAATGTGCTCATTGTAGACCTACCCAAGTTTAAAGGAGCTCCACTAAGTCCGAAACATAAAATTTGAAATTCTTACATTGATCAGCTGGGGCACTTACAAAGCAAAATATGCAAACATTAATAAAGAAATTATACTCAAAATCAGATTGAAAATCGATTTGATGCGCAGCCCTTGGCTCGATTGTGTAAAATAGCGTTTAAACGTTGTTTTTTTATGTTTTTTTTGTGTTCATTTTGCACAATTTTGTGCAATCATCCATACAAAAAATGAAGGAAGCAAAAAATATGAAATTACACTGACGTTATCGATCCAGGCCTCAACCGAAACATTAATTTTGAAAAAAAATCCAATCCTGTTATGTCAAAACAAAATACCTCAGAAAGAATCCCCTTTAAAGTGTGTTGGCCAATCATGGAAGATCTATAGTATCATAAATTATTATGTTGATATTATTTAGCATCATATGTTACAAGAAACCACGAAAGAAATTTACATGGATGTTGTTCGTAAGTGAAAGATACGTGATCCGATACATATCTTTATATAATTCTTGAACAAAATATTATTGTTCATCATATGAATATTCATGCTTAATCGCTTAGAACTGTACTAACATTTTTCCAACAAATATATTATAAAAATACAGAAATGACTGCATTTATGGGAAAATGTCCATTGTAAACCATTCCACTTTAAACATTCTACGAGGCCAAATTTCCCGACAAATCAATGAAATTTCTATAGCTTTATATCTATAATCATCCATTCTCAATTCTTGTCTATAATTTGGCTGTCAAACTAGCTTCCATTAAGGAAATGATTTTTCTTCCCTCGTGACAGATCTTCTAAAGAAATGCTTAACACGGGAAATATAAAGCATTCATTAGACTGGAAATGACCGAAAGCAAATAATGTCGGGAACTTGTTAATATAGCCTTTGTGTCGTCAAGAGTCTTTGCAAATGCTTTGCAAAAAATCATGATGTCTCGAGCAGAGATAATATTAATTGCAAACGGTTTGGTTTCATATAACTGAACAAGGTATTGGCGTCGCATTGCAAAATCCAAAATTCTTATTGATGCACATTTTATTTGTGTTAAAAAAACAGTTTATTTCTCTCTTAAAGAAGATAAACATTCTTGAATATTGCACAGGCCAAAATAAATGTACTTAATTAAATGATACGAGTGATATTAATTGAAATGCTTTTTGGGGAAGGTCGGGGTGGTGGGCGTAGAGATTAAAAACTGGTGTCAGAGACGACGAGAGATGGCTCACTATTTCAATTGATATTGTAATGTTATTAAAACGATAAACTTAGAACACGATCGTATAGTGGCTTTTATTTAATTATGATTTTAACTTTTGTCCTTAACCATCAAAACAAAAACTTCTAGAAACTATAAAAGAAGCGGAACTTCGTGAAACTTCTCTTTGAAATAAAAACAATCAGAATTATAATTTGTTTGCCATGCTCCTGAAAGATAACGGACATATCGAAGTAGCCAATAATATTTAGTATAACAAACTTATAATACGCCCTATAACCAATAATATGTACGTTTACATATTCAAATTTGACTTTTATTTAAATACCATGTTGTGTAAATACTCACTAGAACAAGAAAATAGTTCACAATAAATTGTCATTTTAACGTTGAATTTGACGAACTGAACTTAAATATGTAGGTATCAAATCGATATAAACAACACATGTCAGATGGTAGACAAAATAACGTAGACTTGTTCCACTGACAGATACATATATGCATTTAACCTTTCAAATTTCGTGATATAACATGCTGTATAAATGTATATTATATTAAAGTGCAAATAACTAAAAATGTTCACTCTAATTGAACTTTCAATAAAAGAAGTTGATTCACATATGTACAGTCAATTATCAAAATGCCACTATATGTTACTTTTCGTGTACAAACTCTATGAAACCAACCAACCATTTGATGTTATTAATCTTTGTTTTAATCTATTAATATTTAAATACAAACAATTATCTGGATACCGAATATACAGTGCAACGTCTAAAGTTAGGTCCTCTGGAAAACAATAAATAAAAGGATGGAACCAAAATTGTACAATTTTAAATTATCTGTCAAAAAACACTTTCTTAGTGGGTAATTATTTCTTTTAATGATGTCTATCATCAGTATGTATTAATGTATTATTTTGATATATATTTATTTTTAATTTGAATGTTTTATGTATATTATTGTCTTTCTTCAATTAAAACTGTGATATTCATTTTCATCTCTTTCTTTGTCAAAACCATCATTATGTAAGGACCACAATGGAAATAAGAGATTAAGTTCACTTTCTTGTGTTATCTTAGGTATGGTGTCTTTGATGTGGTGTCATTTCTTATACATGTGATATTGTTTTTATAATTGTATCATGTATTTCATATGTTTTGTGATGTCATTACAAAATACTGAAATAAATCTATCAAAATCTTGATTCTTTACAACAACAGTATCCACAGCAACGAAAGACTCCACAATAAAATTAACTTCT